GAATTTTTTTTCTCATTAGAACAATACAGTCTATTCATATCTTTCCTGTGAATGACGTTTCCAATTATAATGATATTCATTGGGATACCGTAAATAGAAATATTTTCAGGCCACCATTGTGGAGGTATTGCTGCACTGTTTCCAATGGAGCTCAATACACTTTCTGCCGTTTTGTAAGAAGAACAAGCAGTTATAGCCTCAAAAGTAAAAAATTGCAACCTTTATCTTTCTTTTCAGTAGTCTGCAAGTGTTTAGAGCCACTGGAGTGACGTGGAGAAGTAGAATTGACAGTTTTTAGCCTGTCGGTCCATTGTAGCAAGTGATAGTATACCTCCACAATGGCGGCCTGAAAAATTTTCCATTTACGGTATCCCAATGAATATCATTATAAATCGGCAACGTCATTCACAGGAAAGATATGAATTCATGAATATATTTAGCACCAAGAGGTCTATATTTAAGGTGCTACATTTTCCCTAATAGGTTATTTCAAAGATCTTGCAAAAATTAATTTACTAAAATTAACTTTGTGAATACAAAAATAGTAAACGTTAAGCAATTGGTAAATTTTCTAGCTAACATCAGGCAGAAAATGAAATATTTTATACATCGTATAATAATCATAACAATAATCTCAATATTACTCATTTTATAGATAATTCTTACTATAACTCAGTTCCATCATTTGATGTACCACGTTAGGCTCGTACTCGGTGACTCCCATCTCCTTCAATATACCCTCCATAACAGCTCCATCCCTTGAATCAGAACCTCGATCAGAACCACCAGACGCCATCTTGAAATAGAATCTAAAAGGGGCAAGTCTTTATGGGCGGAGACAAGCATCACGTGAGTTTCCTAACACACAACCGCCATTTTAAATTGATGGGTGTGTGTTTGGGCGGGGTTTATGATCACGTGACCTTAAAAAACATGGCCATTTCTGTGGACTCATTCTATGCAGTTTAAAGTCGCCTTTACCCGAGGATAGCTACAAGAGAGAGAGTCATGAGTGGGAAAAAGGATGGGAAGATGAGGATACGAGCCTTCCCTGTAACCAACACTCCTCCATTCATGAGTATACCGATAATAATGTGTGTTTATTAACAGGTACAAATGGACCCCAGCTATGTGGAGGACATTTTGAAGCTTTTGAGGAACGCCATTAGGGAAATACAAAAGAAGAATAATAGCGGGCTCTCGTTTGAAGAATTGTACAGGTTAGCGAGATAAGGTTTAGTGTTTATGGGTGTTTTTTTCTGGTTCATGTTGGGGGTGTGGTCATTATTTGTGGGTGTGGTTTTTAGGAATGCGTACACACTGGTTCTTCATAAGCAAGGTGCTAGACTCTATACAATGTTAAGAGAAGTCATTAACTCTCACCTCATCAATGAAGTAAGCACATGTACACATACATGTATTTTATTACCGTACGGTTGGTAATATTCGAGGGTCCAAAATTTCGTGTTTTCTCCAAAATGTCCTTAGAAGCTAATATTTGTGGGTACAAATATTCGTGGATGGCAGTTAGCAAAGTTCTTTTCACTTGGATCTACTGGACTAGCTTCCATACATGGCTTATTGTGGACTATGGAGTAATAGACAAAGACTTTGGCTCCTCCACTGGCTTGGAAATGGTAGTTAGAGCTCTGCATGGCCCGTTAATTAGTTTTTATGTGTGGGTGGGTAGGGGTTAAAATTTCATGGATAAAAATTAACCACGAAATTAACGAAAATTAATGCCCCACGAAATTTACCAACCATACGGTATTTAATGTTTTATTGATCATTGCTGGTTTTATGTCTCAATTTTAAACGAATATTGTTGTTGATTTATATGTACATGTACATGTACACGTAACAGGTTGATTAGGAGGTTATTTTGTATGTTTCATTCATGGTTGTTTGATGGTTTTTATAACTGGTCTTGTTATCATAACTCACAGCATTAAAATAATGATTTTGAAAAACTTGAGCTTCATGAGCAAGCAAAATACACATTGTACATATATACATGTGCACATTCTTATAAACTAGTACTTTAATTTAAGCTGTATTACTAATACATTAACATGTATTATTACTGTTGTTGTTTACCTTTTAAAAATTATCATTTTAAGCTGAATCAACAAACAGAATGTAAAAGTATGCATGTACCTATTCTTTTTAAATAGTACATGTATCTTTAATCATTTAACTGTACATGTATTGATACTGTTCTTGTTGTTTACTTG